GATAGAGATAGAGAGGGAGAGTTGTTCAAAGGGATCCATGTATGTATGTATGTATATATATATATATATATATATATATATATATATATATATATATATATATATATATATATATATAAATATATTTATATATACATGCGCAATATAGTGGCAAAAACTCTACTTATTTATAATATTCAATCTTCTTTCTAGATATTAGACCTTGATTGCATTTGAACATCAGAGGGCTTTGGCTGTGCTATGATCACGCTCGTGATTTGTGTTCTAGCTTGGGCTCAAAATAACACTAGTAGTCTGTCCTTCAGTTTTTATTTTGTTCTTGTTGTTGCGTTCACCGGTTGTAAATCCTGGCGGAAAGATCTGGTTGTTTGTCCATTTCTGAGTTTCGCCTCTGTTCCTGGACCTGAGTTTTGCGTCTGCATCAGTTTTACAGATCTTGCACATTTGTATGCAGACTGTTCTTTATCTCTCAGGCAGATGCACTGCGACTGTGAAGTAAGTCCCCAATTAGTCGCCACTTACGCCGTGCATGTTGGGAAGGCAGTAGGTCTGTTCTTATTTTCCCCCACAATGGAACCCCGGAACCCACACGGGGAAGTCGAAGTGTTTGAAATCGGTGCAATATTTATTGGGAGCCGCCGTGGTCTACCGGCTAGACGCTTGCCTACGGATCGGAAGCTCATCGGTTAGGTTCCTGAAGGGAGCCGGACTTTTTTTCAAAAATGACGTTGGATCTTGGGTCGACCTAGCCTTAAAGGAGTACCAGATGCAGTCATAGGAAGTAAAGGCAGCCGGTGTGATGCTGACTACATTACCCGTTAAGTACTGTTTGGTCTATAAAATTTAGGTCTAGCCTTAATTACCCAATACGCCTGAAAGGCCTGGAAAAGGGTCCTCTACATTTACTATTAGAATGCGTGTTGCTCACCCAAGATAAATGTTACGCAATCTGTCACGCAGTACAGGCGGAATATCACACTGACCTTGTGACAGCGTAATTCAACCCAATGAAACAATGAGAAGGGGTGGTTTTAGAATTCATGACACGGAAAAAAGCGTGGTGCGGACATTTCCGTTGGAGGGAATAGAAGGCAATTTTTGGAGAGACTGCATAAAAGATCAATTGGACAGGAGATATAGCAATGTGTTAACGGCCCAAATACGGGGATAAAAGGAAATAAAGTAAAGGACCCTTTTCCACGTCTTTCATGCGTATTGAGTATATAGGGCTAGACCTATATTTCACAGGCCAAAGGACACTTGGTGAGTGATGTGGTGAGCAGGGTGGGGCTTCGAATAATGAAAAATTTGCATTCCACAAGGGGACGACGAGAGTATTTGTCAATCACACTGTTGTACTCTTACCCATGAAACGCACTGTAGGTAATCGGATTTGTCTGAAAATAATCATTTCCTGAGTATGGTCATTATGCTGCATTTGTTTAGAACTGAATAGAACTTCTGCTAGGTGCTGTGTATGTGTGAATATGTGCTTATGCTCTTATGCTACAGTGTTTGTTAACCAAACTTTAAACCCACTCGTCGGCTAGGTCAAGAGTTTAGTCTCATGCCCCATGCATTAAAAGAGCTTCTTATCTTCCCTGTACCAATGCTTATATTAGGTTGATAATATATTAAAAGCACTATAAGCACACTTCTTACTCTTTCATATTGTATCCTCTTATTCTATCATGCTCACATTTTTCTTCCTGCTACTTCAGACAGACAGACAGACAGACAAGACAGGACAGACAGACATGACAGACAGACAGGACAAACAGACAGATAAATTGATAGATGGATAGATAGGTAGACAGACAGACATACAGACATACAGCAGACAGACATACAGACAGATCGATGATTCATTTGTTTGCTTTATTTTAAAGGATTTGTACTGTAGTATGCATCTGACGAGATGCAGCCAAATATGCCAGGCAGTACATTGTGCAACTGTGTCTTTTTGTTCAAGCTCACACCTTTCTCGAAAGCAACGCAAATTGTATGTTGCCAAATCTCCTCACTTAAATTTATCCCCAACAGAATATGTGACAATTATGTACATGTATTTACTTCTGTCGTAGCCGTCAACTGTTCCGTTTAGTCTGTCAAAAATCTGTCACTACTGTCTGTTTTACCACTTTTTAAAGAGATATAGACAGGATGCTATTGAGCCTGAGGTTTTATGGCCGCCTGGCTAGTGCTGTCACCACGGACTGTCCAGGTTAGGATGTTTAAACTCCATCATCTAACTGGGGGTCGAAGTCAGTCTCCCGCATGAGAGCCCGACGATGTCATCGCTTGGCCAGCCGCTTCTCTGTTTAGTTTAAGAAGAATAAAACTGTGTGGGGGAAAAAAAAGAGGGAAAAAGGGGGGAGGGGGGTGTTGTGAGGTGAGCAGCCACCCTACACAATGGACGAGTCGCGACTTTGATTCCCCTCGCGGACAGTCACATTTCAAACTTGAACCCGTCCGGAAAAGTATATAGTCCCTTATATTGATCTATACCTTTATCTGGTAAAATATTAATTTCTAGACACTCTAGTTGCTTTGATAAATCTTCATTTTCAAACTTGCAACTGTAGGTTGGCGAATTCTGGTATTTTATTTAGAAATACCTGTAAACCGGTTTACTCCTTAGGCAGGAATACAGGGGACTTCTTTCCTAGAGACGCTAGTTTGATTTTGAAAAAAAACATTCTTTAGCCTGATCCCAAAGTATCTAGACGTGTATACAGTCTATGTAGAAATTGGTGCATTCAAAGTTCCATTTCTATCTTGGAAGATTTCCTAAGCTTGGGTAAGTTGATTATAGTTTACGAGTACCATAATTGACGTCTTTCTAAAGTTGGCCACTGCTGCAGATAGAGAGCAGAGTCAGCTGTGTGATCGCACAGAGTTCGACCGTTCTTGATGTCCAGAGATCAGGATCCGAACCTTAGACCTTCCCCTGTACAGACTAATTAGTTGGCGCTCTACATAACCCACACCATTTGTAAAGATATTAAACCCCACAAAAATTATTCTCTGACCAGTCAAACGAAGTTTTGTGTCGCATAACTGAAACAGGGAATTTAGGTCATCTTTAACCGGCAGTCAGGGCTAGGCGCTCTGAGTCAAAGGTGTGTTTGACACAGATTCAGTGGGTGTGTAGTGAACGGCCTGTGGAGACGGAATATATATATATATATATATATATGTACTAATTGTAAACATTGTATGTCTGCGAGTGCAGATGTGAGGGTGGAGAGAGGATGATCTATGTGTGGTAGTGTCTATCTATCTCCACTATATACCTTGTTTTCTATCTGTGGCACTATTTTACAGACAGATAAATGAAAGGAGACGTTGTCTCCTGTTCTTGAGAGTTACACTCTGAGGATGGAAAAAGGTGACAGAGGTGAGATGAGCTAGTGTGTGTGAATAAGGCTGATTACTAATTCTGAGTTCTTTCCTGACAGGATGATACCTCCTTAGAGATCAGGCAGACGAATCACAGTCCAGCCAACCACCACAAACCCATACCATTCTGTGAACTAAAAGTATCCCAAAAGTCCTGTATGCAGTGCCACCACCTCAACATGGCAAGAGCTTGTTTGTGAGTTCCAGGACCAGTGGACAATTGCAGACACCTATGTCATCAATCCAGAGAACCAGTCTTCAAGAGCTTTATTGGGGGCTTCTGCATTTATTGTGTCGTCACCTGTGAGACCGGCAGTGGGCATCACTGTCTCCGAGAGCTTTGGTGGGCTCCTGTGCAGTTCCTGTGTCCTAGCTCGTGACAGTCAGCTGGTACCAGATCAAATCAAGGCCCAAATACTGATTGAGTCAACTACAGCCGAATCACCATGGACTGAGGGGAGCATTGACCTACGAACTGGGCTAAGTGATCTTTTATTCACCCTTCATGCTCTATTCCCACAGCACCTGATCACACCGATGATGAACTCATGTACTCTCCTGAACTAAGATCTGGCTGCTTCAATATCTGGGGTGTGTCATTGATTCCTAAGCTCCACTAAATGAACTCTTTTTAAACTATTCACTATTATATGTATATATTGTATCGATTACATGCACAAATTTTCATGGCTGACTTGGGTGTCCCTATTTCACCATTCTAACTGTCTAGCTCTGATGATTGTGTGAGCAATAAGTCTTATATGTGTTAACATGGTTATGATAGTAGACTATCATAACCTGGGGGCTATCTTTTTATAGTAGTGGGGGTGTCCATCCAAGTGTGCCTAGGAATATTATATATTTTGTAGTGCCAAAGCTTGAGTTGCCCTACTCCTGAAATAAGTTGAGCGTATATTGGCCACGGGGCATCTCTTAGACCAATACGAGCCAACGACTCAACATAATTATTTCAGAGTGCTGTTGGTTCTTAAGGAGAAATCCTTAAATCAGGCACGCGATAGGAGCGATATGTGACCGGGGGGGGGGTGGGGGGGTGGTAGACAAAGAAGAATCTGGAACTACAACATCAAGAAAGGAACAAGAGTAAATTACTCTACCGTTGTTGAACCTGTTCATGTTTCCCGGCCCATCAACACAGTTTCTTAGTCTGATTTAGATCAGAGGGGTGTCACGTTGTACTGCTTCTTTGGAAGGAGTCTTTTGTGTGACCTAGGCTCAGGCTGTGAGTGGGGGGGGGGAGGGGTTGTTTTAGGGCAAGTTCTGGGGTCGTTGAAGGCTGTGTCGTCATATAGTATAGAACACGCGACATCGGCGCCAATGTAATTGGAAGCAAGGCAAAGTGACAACCCTCCAAAGTAGAAAAGTCTGAGAAAGCATGAGTGAAAGGTCAGCCAGCTTGTAGAAGGGCCGGGAAACGTGAACTGGACCCAGTTGTTTCACAAATGAAAAACAGAGAAAGATGGCGGGTTTTATGTGCTGGTGCTTCTATCGACACACCTCCACCACCCTATCGGGTCAAAGGTTGTGTTATATTATAAATGACAGAAGATTAAGAAGACAGCAGGCTACCTTCTTACCTGCAGAGCTTTATTGTGAGCTATCTTTCTAACGTGCGCCATGTAGAACTGTCGCATGGCCAGGATCAGCATGAGCCCAGCAACAGCCAGAAGGATAGGCCCGGTAATGGGAGCACTCTCACCCAGAACATCATGGACCCCTGTGGAGCATGCAAGTATACAGGAATTACATAACCAACTGTATAATAACAGCTGACACATTAGACAACGTAGAAAAGGAAGATGACGCATTTACCAGAGATGATGCTGGAACTTGTAGACAGGTGAACCTTAGGGACACCCCCCCCCCCCACCTTCATCACCCTCCCCCACCTCCTAATAATAATTTGGGAGTGTGGGTAAAGAAAAAGAAGGGGGTAGGGGGTGATGGTGGGGGGCAATTTAGATAAGCAAAATTGGAGAGATATGCAACTACAAGATGTACAAATGTTTAAAAAAACATTCAAAGAGAAGGTTGAATATCTCTGTTTTATGTAGGAAGTAAAAAGAAGAAAATCCTGTAATGAGGCGCGTCTTGTATGCCAAGGATTATTTATATATCCGACCACGATAGGCCGTGCATCAATTGCACTTAATGAATTGGAAAGCAAATGGTGTTTTTCTGGAACACCTCATTATAACGGTATTTTAGTTCGAACAATTTGAATACCATAATAAGCAATGTAATCCTGGGTGTTCGCAAAGGATCACGTTCATTGCATAGAGTAGAGCTTCCCAAATTGTGTTTCACGACACATTAGTGTGCAGGCTGCAGAGTACAGGTGTGTTGTGCGAATGTAAAACATTAACAAATGTTTGTATGTGTGGTTTTCTCTTAAAAAGAAGTTAGTTCGAATTCGGTTTTGTTGTTATTGCTAGTAAACTAAACTACTGTATCGCAAAATTATGTTTGTCTAAAAAGTGGTGGACCAAATAAACTGTTTGCATACAGATATCACGATGCATACTTCAGTTTCATCCTTTAAGTCACACAGAGAAGCTGAAAAGACAAGCGGACGATTTAATCAGGTTGCAACTGGCTCCAACAGTATAGGAATGCTTCCTTGTCTAACGAGGAAGGCGGCATAGAACTTTTATGCAGTGATGTTCATTTATTCATTCGCCTGAGATAGATATTTGCATTTACTTTATCATTTATTTGCTTAGACAGTTTAACATTCAGTTTTACACCAACTGACAGCGTTGTTAAGACATCCAAATACAAGTTTGAGCGCCAAGAAACATATTAAAAGCATCATATTTATACCAACACAGTGCTACTAGTGCCAGACAGATAGGCTAACCTACGTACAATTAACACCTGTGAAATGAGATGCCAGAGAAAAGCCGCCAACTCCTCCATTGGAGATAAAGTTAGAAATAATGTTATCAGACAGCCTGTAGTAACAACAACATGAGCAAATTCATCGAGAAATAGAAGATCAAATTGGTTTTGTCTTCTAGTAAGTAAGAAAGCAGCAAGAACAACTATCAACGCAAGCGCTACACATGAAACGATCTGGAGTGTAATCAAGAGGCCGCCCTAGGAGAATTTAGACTGATGCTATTAAAGAGTTTTTTACATCGACATGGAATTACAATTAGCCATTGCTACCCCTTTAGCAATGGATCACAGACTGTTCTACCCCTCAACGCCTAACGGCAGAAGTGGAAAGTGATAATGATGATGAAACATTCAGTAGTTTGCCTTTGCTGACTGCTCGGCCAACGCTCGTAGCTTGTCGAAATGAACGACATGGGTTTGCTGTCAAATCGCCTGCAACTGAATTGAACTTCAAATGACGAAAGTATGAAACTGTGTTCATAATCCATACGCCATAGAGTGGATCATTTTTTAAAATGTTTAAATGTATAGTTTGTGCAACAGCATTTCAGTTTGCTTTTTCTCATGTTTTCAGCGTGCTTTTCCCCATGTTTTTAGTCTGCTTTTCCCATGTTTTCAGCGTGATTTTTCCAATTTTTAACTGCTATAAAATTATATCTGCTTAACCTGTTAAACCTGCCAATACTGCTTGTATTTACCACTTTTGCGGCATAGCATAGGGAGTTCGGAAAAAAAAGGGGGGGGGGGTGGGGGAGAGGGTCTTTGAGTCTGAGGGTTTAGTACTGTGGTCACGCACTGTGCATGTTAGAATTATATTTTTGCTCCATGATAAAAAAAAAATAAAAAAAATAAAACAAACACGTGCACGACCTTCCCAAGGATTCAAACCTAGACCTCCTGCATAAAATTGCAGCCTTCCTAACCGTTCTGCTAATTGTTACCCGCCCCACCTGTATGAGGGATTTAATAGTTTTTTCCCCGTTTTTATCCCAGAATGCCAGCTGTCTGACTCTCCAGCCCATAAACAAGTTAGGGAGTTTTATATTCTTTGCCCAGAAAAGCTAACCCGGTAAAAAAATTCCAGAGGAAGTTAGATTTGTCGGCTTAAAGGGGAAAATATCGCAGCTATACTGTAATCAGGTACAAAACAGTTGCGTCAACCTGCAGCTCAGACACATCTAATAATTTTTTTAAATCTAAGAGACTGAAGGTCTCCACAACAAACAAATATCTTAAAGTGGGCTTCCCCCAAAAATTAGCAAGGAAACATTGGTCCAGTAAGCATGCACACACATTTTCTATTCAAATATGTGTTTATACGATATGTACTGTACATTTCATATTCGTTCGTATATATTATTACATTTATTTGTCACCAATGCTTTAATAATAATCACTATTATTGCGGATTTAAACAAGACTTAAACCGACGAGGCTTCTTGAGGCTCCCTGCTCCAAGAAAGTTATAATAACTCTTTGTGACTACCTGCCTGGTGGGACTTCATTGACCACCTAACACTTTTCCCAACTTGTGGTGTTATATGCATTTGAGAGATGGACATAGAGCAGACAAGCCGAAAAACATTTACCCGCAGCGGGAATTTGGTTTTTGAGAAGAATGCAAAGAATATAATTTGATTTGATTCAAGAACCGACATCACAGCACTCGGGGCATTCCCATAAACGCTCCGTCCCCATCTTCAGCAGCCAGCGAAGAGTTCCGATACTAATGGTGCCAGTAGCATTCTGATTAAACGTCCGTCTTTCCTTTCCCCTGAGCCTCAAGCATTTGCCAGAACCTCTCGTCACTCCAACCTGCATCAATCTCACTAGACTGGTGATTCATCTGCTCCTCCGCATTGTACACGCTCTCCCACAAGGCACTAACTACGTCTGCCTTATTATGTATCAGTATTCCACCAAGTTGTGCAGAGCCAGCCAGTCTGTCCGACTGTTTATTTCCCAACACACCGGCGACCCCGTGAAAAAATCCAGACAATACTCCTCACCCGTGTCCTCTGCAGCGAAGCATGCCACTCTGCACGATGCATGCCTGTCCTGATCTTCGTCAGCATGCTTTCTGAGCAGATGAGACAGATGAAAGTCGCAAACTGATTAAAACAAATTGACATAGATAGTCGATGTTTTTCTAACATGTTATGAGATGGAACGGACTTGGGAACTTGGTAACGACTGGCAAAATTGCTGAAAAGAAAGCAAGGGGAAAACAAAGCGACAAATATCTGAATACTTCAACCATATAGATAGGGTGAAACAAGAACACTGACACCGTGAGTATGGTGATCGTGGGCGATGGCGAAACACGACAGTCTACACTTATTTGGAATTTCACATGGGCATGAGTGTAAGGCGGAGGGCGGGGGTGGAACGATAGAAGAATGTTTATAATCAACGCACAACAGATATAATACGGACACTAAAATCTCCCAAATATTTTGAGAGACAGCGCACGTGGATGTGTCTCTAGGGCTTCCACGCTTATTCCTTTTAATAAATCGTAAATGTATCCATCAGTGCTAGTGTTTCTATTTGTGGTTCAAAAGGCTTAAGTTTTCTGTTTATAATTCAAAATACCGTTCTAGTGACCTTTTCTAGGTCTCCGTTGTTGAGCGGAGGATTATTCCAATCCCACCGTTATTCTTTTTAGCCTGCAGTCCTTCGAATATCTACTTGTTTTTTTTTTCTTTCTAGTAAACAACTTGGCGTTTCCTACTTTGTTTAGCTGCAAAATTAGGCTTGTTACAGAATCTTTGCGTTTCCGACTTTGTTTAGCTCAAAACTAAGCTTGTTACAGCATCTCACGGAACACTTAACTGCTCTAAAAAGGTTAGACAGTTTGACTGGCTGTTGTAAAGAAAGGTTGACATTTTTAGTTGGCTGTTATGTAAATGATTGTACTGAAAAAGATTTATCTGTGTCAATGTTTTGTTTCTTTAAATGGAGGATATTTAGGATTACTGTTATTTCATTTTACATGAGATATTTCTGATCATGCTGCAGTCACTTACAGTGTTAAGTCTGTCTGTCTGTCTGACTGTCTGTCTGACTGTCTGTCTGACTGTCTGTCTGACTGTCTGTCTGACTGTCTGTCTGACTGTCTGACTGTCTGTCTGTCTGACTGTCTGACTGTCTGTCTGACTGTCTGACTGACTGTCTGACTGTCTGACTGACTGTCTGACTGTCTGACTGACTGTCTGACTGTCTGTCTGACTGTCTGTCTGTCTGACTGTCTGACTGACTGTCTGACTGTCTGACTGTCTGACTGTCTGACTGTCTGACTGTCTGTCTGATTGTCTGACTGTCTGACTGACTGTCTGACTGTCTGACTGTCTGACTGTCTGTCTGACTGTCTGACTGTCTGTCTGACTGTCTGACTGTCTGTCTGTCTAACTGTCTGACTGTCTGTCTGACTGTCTGACTGTCTGTCTGTATATGTGTGTGTGTGTGTATGTATGTGTGTGTGTGTATGTATGTATGTGTGTATGTATGTATGTATGTATGTATGTATGTATGTATGTATGTATGTATGTATGTATGTATGTATGTATGTATGTATGTATGTATGTATGTATGTATGTATGTATGTATGTATGTATGTATGTATGTATGTATGTATGTATGTGTGTGTGTGTATGTATGTATGTGTGTGTGTGTATGTGTGTGTGTGTGTATGTGTGTGTGTATGTGTGTGTATGTGTGTATGTGTGTGTATGTGTATGTGTGTGTGTGTATGTGTGTGTGTATGTGTGTGTATATGTGTGTGTGTGTATGTGTGTGTGTATGTGTGTGTGTGTA